TTCCCCCCCACTACCATGATACCAATTCTACTTTACAAATCCGGCTAGACAAGAGTATGTACACTGGTACAGATAAGAAACACAGGGAATCCAGGACAGACAGACCTCTCAGGGCCAATAATGAGAGTAGTGATACCAGGAAGGTAAGGGGAAGGCAGGGTAGAAAGGGGGAACTGATCACAAGGATCTACCTATAACCCCCTCCCTGTGAGATGGACAACAGAAAAGTGGGTGAAGGGAGACGTCGATCAGACAGTGTAAGACATGACAAAATAATACTTTATATATCATCAAGGGTTCAGAACGGGAGGAGGGAGGCGTGGAGCGAGGGGGATAAAAGAGGAGCTGATACCAAGGGCTCAAGTAGAAAGAAAATGTTTTGAGAATGAGATGATGGCAACAAATGTACAAATGTGTTTGACACAGTGGATGGATGTATGGATTGGGATGAGAGTTATACAAGCCCCCAATAAAATGATTTCAAAATGAAAAAAAAAGTGCTGAAAAACTCAGCTTATACTCGAGTATATACGGTAATTTATTTATAAAAACATATTTATGACTCTCAAATAATTTTTAAGCTGGTGAGGGACAGGACTGGCTCTTCCATCTCAAAAGTTTGCCAGCCCCTGGTCTACAATTAGAGCTATTTGAGCCCGCTGAAATTAACTATCACCTTATTATTTAGACATAGCACACTCATCATTTTTCTCTCACTTGTTTTATTTGATCTTTTTAAGTATCCAGAGGAACAGACCTAATCAATATTCATACAATCACAATATTCAATTTGGTATTATTTCCTATTCTACTACTTTGGGGAGGAATTGATTTGTTGAAGTTGAGATTAATTCACACTGGTGTCCACTGGAAACGTGCCTTAAAGGGACTGAGATTTGCCTCCGAGAAAACAAACAAATGTAGGACAAACCACCAGGGGAACCAATATGAGCGGTCAGACTTACCTGAAAAGATCCCTAGGTCAAGGCCCACCGGGAGAGAGGAAGAGAAGACTGTGAAGGCCATGCCGCAGATCTAACATTACGCAGCATGATGATGGCTATGATCTGACCTGTCTATTGGAGATGGAAGGGGCAGAAAGGAGACAAAGTTCTCATACCTGAGGAAGTAGGACATGTAAGTGTATGGGCAGTTGACAGCACCAAATCCCGAAAGAAGAGCCATGAGAGTCACTCCTATCACACCTACGCGGCTGATGAGCTGTTCAATGGACAGGATCCCTGAAAGCACCAGGGAGCGCGAGTGTTAGGTGACGCAGACACACGGCTTTCCTCGGCACTGCCGAGGGAAACAGCACCGAGCACAGCCACAAGGACAGGGAACGAACTCACACAAAGTGACCCTTAGGGATTAGGGGTAGCGTTTATGTAATCAGTATATAAAAGTTGACTGATTTTTCTGTCATCCCACATGCTTCAGAATCAGCTCCAGTATAAAATAATAGGAATAATCATAAATAATATTTATTAATCAAGGGAGAGTGAACTGTAACAAAGTAAGTACTTTTAGTAAAAGCTTTAGGAAAAATTAATGTAAATTTGCTGAAAAAGTAAGACCAGCATGTAACACTTGGCGTTATTATTGCATATACTTCATTATATACATCGCTCCCTCAGGTTATGCCTGCCAGAGCTTATGCCCTAATCTTTCTGTACCTAATAAACACATAATGAAACCAAGCACCCACGGCCGGGGAGCTGGTTCTGACCCACAGGGACACTATAGGACAGAGTAGAATTGCCCCAGAGGGTTTCCCAGGCGATAAGTCTTTATAAGAGCACACAGCCCCATCTTTCTCCTGCAGTAAGTGAGAAGAATTTACAGATGAATGACTAATCCAAAGATAAAAATGTGAGTTTTAGACGATCAGATGTATTCTAATTATCGATTATTCTTTAACATTTAAGAATGCTGGAAATCAACTCAGTAGCTAATATAAACATTGATGTACTGGGGATAAATGAGACAAAGCAGTGTTTAATAACTCAGAATTTAGAGTCACAGGAAAAATGAGTTTTGTTTCTTCTTCATTATCTACATTAATGGGTAAACATTCGAGCTATCCTTCAGCATTCTGTCCACTTTGAAATGGGAAATTCCAATAGTCCATTTTTGACAACCTCTTAGCCCCTTTCTTCCCAGCTTACTGCCACCTCTGGTCTCAATCTTTATTTTTCCAGCATCCATCTCTTTTTCCGGGCAGCTTGGACCCTGGATTGGCTGGCTTTGACTCCTCTTACCAGCGCTGTCCCGACTTTCCTCTGTCTGAAGCACACAATCCGGTACCTTATTTTCCCTGTGCCCCTGCCTGAGCGGCCTAAAACGGTTCAAATGCATTCTCATATTGGTGTCATTACGGGTTCAGTTTCCAGTCTC